TCTGAGGTGCGAAGATTCCATGGCCTAGCTGGATTCTGTAGGAGATTTGTGCAAACTTTAGCACAATTGCAGCGCCTTTAAACGAGATTTCCAGTCTAGATAGACAGCGTAAGGCTGAGTCAGTGAAGAAAATCCATGAAGAAGCACGCGTGAACATTGTAAAGAGGAATGAGCAAGTTGAGAACCGAGCTAACAAGGGCGAAAACATCTTACATTTGAGCAGGGCGATTGGATTTGTGCACACTTCCTCAAGGAAATATTTCCTAATTAGCGGAGTTCGAAAGTTAAGCCGCGAGAAGATGGACCATTCCAAGTGCTGGAAAATATCAACGACAACGCCTATTGATCAACCTTCCAAGTGAGTATGAAGTCAGTTCGACCTTTAATGTGTCTGATCTATCTCTGTTTGATGTAGGTTCGGATTCGAGGACGAATCCTTTTTCAGAGGGGGAGAATGATACGAACCAGTCAAGTACGCAAGCTAGTCCCGAGCTCGATAAAGGAATTAATGTTTTAGACGAGTTGCATGGCCAAAGAGGAGCGATTACACTAGCTTGACCAAAGCGTATTGAAGCAGCCATGCTTAAATTAGTAAGAGACGAGCTCCGAAAGGAAGAATTAATGAAACCTAGTTTGATCATAACTGAAATTAATTGGAGTAGAATTATCGGAGCAGATCGTGAAGCAAATTGAGCTCAAAGACTTGAACCCGTTTAATCATCCAACCGAGAAGACGTGACTTGGAGAAGAAGAATTGTTAATTTTCGTATTTAATTTTGAGACAGTTTATTCTTGCGATTTAGAGTCCAATCTGGACTCAGTTTAGTTTATTTGGTTAATATTATAGATAAGTTAGGAGTTATTTTTCTTACTAGATTAGGTCTCTTGAGACTTATAAATAGGTTGTTTTAGGGTCATCACTTTTTGGGCATTTTTAAGCATTATTTTGAGAGATTAAAATTCTCCTTTGTTGTTCTTCAACAACTCTTCGCGATATTTTGCGAGTGGATTCTTGTGAATTATTCTTAGGAATATAGTATTGGTTTCTGATTCTTATATTCACGGGGTCAATACTTCCACCTTGATAATATTGGTTTCTAGCTCTCTATAGTTGCGGGGTCAATATTTCGAATTCCGCCAATGGAATCCTTTGTTTTTGGATGTTCTGTTCTTGCTTCCTCATAACATTATTGGGTCTTGTAACAAGTTCTACGGGGTTCGTATCAGTTGGTAACTATAGGCATTTTTCAAAAAAAAAAGTTTCACCTATCCTTTTTTTTGTGTCTTTGTTTTGTTTTCGTTCTTCGATTTGTTCGTGTCATTTCTTGTTGTGTCTTCTACTCTATCTCATCTTTTCTTGAATTGTATTGTCTATAGTCTTCATAAAAAAAAATTATCTGAAATATCTTAGAAAACAGATACATCAAAAAAAAAAAAAAAAAAAAAAAAAAAGAAAAAGAAGAAGAAGCAAAATTCAAATTCAGTCATTGAAAATTCCTTATGAGGATTTTTAATAGATTTGGGCAACACAAGTTTTAATAGACTCGGGCAACTCCTTGAATATCTTGTTTCGTTGTCTACCTTTCTCCTAATTGAATTCCACGTTGTTTCTTTGTTTCCTATCCCTTTTGTTTTGTTTCACCATTAAATTCGAAGTTCCTTTTATTTGCTTCCAAATAATTTCTGGATTGATAAAATACTATTTAGCTTGGAATAAAAAAATGAAAATCCACTTAATATTCTCTCGATTAGTTTCTTTAGAACTTTGAACCGAATTTAAGGGTGAAAAAAGGCAGTGAGTGTGAGATCAAAAGAGGGTAAAAGCCAAATTGTGTGAAATACGAGTGAAATGAAGACCATATTGAGTGAAACACGTGAGGGATCGGTGAGGAAATCTTGTTTCCTTTAACAATATTTTGTGTTGAAACACCATATCAAGGAAGGGTGTGTTGATGAAAGGGACAGAGGAACGAAGCAGCACTTCCAACGTCTGCATATAACCCTTCAAAGGATGCAAAATCAAATCGATAAGTTGAGTAGTGTAAGACCTGCACCGGTGCCACAAATGCGGCAACCTATTCGTCAACCTGTTGTACGACAACTTGACGAATTGGAGTTCGATTAAGAATCTGAGGCAGAGTTTTATTACTTCTAGGCGATGGCGTAGAGGACGAGGGAACAGAGGTGACAGATTTGACAGGCCGAGGCGCGGTAATGTGGGACGAGAAAGAGATGAAGTTGAACCTCTGCTCGATCAAATTGAGTATACCGTCTTTCCAAGGGAAGAGTGATCCCGAGGCATGCATAGAATGAGAAAGAAAGGTTGAGCTCGCTTTCAACTGCCACAAATCCGAGGAAAAGAAGGTGAAGTTTGCAGCTTTAGTGTTCACTGATTATGCTATCATTTGGTGGAATCGATTGGTTGTGACCAGACGCAGAACTGGGGAACCACCAATTGTTGATTGGGAGATCTATGAAGGCACTTATGAGATGGAGGTTCGCGCCCTCATTTATTATAGAGACTTACATTTGAAATTGCAAAGTTTGACGCAAGGTACTAAATCAGTCGAGGAGTACCATAAGGAGATGGAGATTGCAATGATTCTAGCCAATATTGTGGGTTGAACTGGGAGATTGCTAATGTAATGGAGTTGCAGCACTACGTTGAAATTGAGGAGGTCGTTCATATGGCCATGAAAGTTGAGAGGCAGCTTAAGCGAGGAGGGAGAACTACAGCTCGGGCCGAGGCATCAAGCAGGAAACCGCAATGGAATCATACTTTGAAACCCGGGGAGAAATCGACACGAAACCTTCCAATGAGATAGAAAACCAGATTCGCGCATTTTGCCAAACATTTCTTGATATCCGGAAACCCCCCCTTCAAAAAATTGCCCCACTTAATCAATCAACTGGATCCCATTTATATCCGACAACACTTTTGGCTTGCTGGAGCTGCATGATCATTAGCATTCCCCCCATTCTGCTCAAACGATGCAACAATCATTGCATTTGTAGAACTAATCACATAACTTGACTCAACAAAAACATATTCATTTGTTTCACTATAACTTCTAACCATTTAAGTGAACACTGACCATGTAAGTCAAACATAACAGACACACGTGTCATTAACATCATCCAGTAAACAATGCCTACTTCAGGCAAATTGTAACTAGAAACCAATGTGCTTAGTGAAGCCCATGTTTTAACCACAAAATCAACCAAGCTCTGATAGTTTATTCCAAAACTAAAATTCTTCCCAGCATAACACCTAACAAACTTGAAAAATAAAATAACATAACTTGCCATCCTGACAAAAAAAACATTAACATACCTTAGGGGTGTGAACGAGCCGAGCTCGCCTCTTTTGGCTGAAAGAGACTCGAGCTCGAGCTCGTGTCAATTTTGTCGAGCTCGAGCCCAAGCTCTTTTTTTTTTTATTTTGTTTTATTTTTAACTTATTATTTTATTATTAAAAAATATTTTTAAAAAATATAAAATAAAAACTAAATTGTAATTATATATATTTTTAATATTTGTATTTATTTTTGTAATATTTTATATTATTATACATTATTTAAATAAAAATAACATATAAAAAATAAAAAAATAATAATAAATAAGGCTCGCGAGCTCATGAACAACTAAAAACCGGCTCGAGCTCGGCTCGTCAGAAAGCTCGAGCTCGCGAGCTCGAGCTCGAGTTCGAGCTTTTTACGAGCCGGCTCGTCGAGCTCACGAGTCGGCTCGTTTACCACCCCTAAGTCATACCTACTATTTATAGACATACAATTACATAAAATCATTAGCATCTAAAGTTTAGCTAATAAACACATAAAGATAACTATGCTCCATGCATGCCACTACAAACATAAGACATACACAGCAAAACACAAAAAAAAAACAGAAGAAAAATAAGTAAATTATGTTAACTAAGCTCTTTAATTATCAATATAACATGTGCATAAACGTAAGACATACAAGAACACATTAATTTATCTCAACTCCAATATTTAATGTAACTAAGCTATGGCTAAACCATTCTGAGAAAAAAAAAATATGTATCAACAACATCAACGACACAAAAATATACAAAAAAAATCCTTAAAAAAACAGAATAAAACATACACAAACAAACTATACTCTTGTCATATCAACACAAAAACATAAAGATAAAACAAACGACGAACTTAAACCTAACATCTCACTAACATAACAAATGTATCTTAGAATAATAGTATACGCATGTGCGAATCGTACTGTGTTCCTATCATCGCACCACAAACAAAAAAAATACATAAACGACTAATATCGATAAACAACATATCGGCCAAAGAAACTAAGATCACTTCATTCTCGCTAAGATCACCATAAAAACAAATGATCGATAACCAGTAATAAACGATCACACGCATGAACTTGTGTTCAATTTACATAAAATTCAAATTACTTACACGACTCGCACCGTCCGTTCCTATCTTCGCACTACAAACGACCAAAAAACGAACAAAAGCTCACAAAATCAACAAGGAATTGAGCGATAATACTCAGAAACGAAGCACATAGTAGAACAAAACGGGAGTAATTTAAGCGAGAGATCTCTTCTAGGGAAATGCGTGAGACAGATTTGTTTATTATCGCCTTTAATACCGAAAGGGTATTTTTGTAACTTCATCTTGATGATAATGTGCTAGGTTAAAACACACTGAGAACTTTTAGTAAATAACATAAATCAACATGTCATGTTGGCTGTAAATTTTATTTTTTTAGGGAGCAGCAACCGATCTCCCCTTATTTTAAAAAGGAGAAATTACGAAGCCAAGAGTTACTCTTGAAAGAAAAATAAATAAAAGATATAAGACATATAAATGTTAACAATACATTCTTAATTTCTTGATTGACGATTACCAAAATGTTCTTACTTGTGACAAGACATGGAAATTAAATCTACGAGGGAGCTAGAAAGACGCAGGTTTTATCGACAAATTAGTGATATAGGATGAGTTTGCAATAATACTCCAATCCAAATAGCTAGTGCAAAAGTTTGTTGCAAGTGCTAACTCCGAGAGCAGCCGCAAGGTGCCATCCAGCATGTAGAAATGGAGTTCGAGGGAGAAAGTCATCCGCGATGAAAAGTGCACCACCTAACAGCGACGACACCTTATGCACATTATGTGCTGTCCTAAGATTCGGATCTTGAAATGCTCTCTTAGCAAATGCAACCTGATCGAACATCGCGTAAATATAGAATAAGTGTCACAAATATAGTAATAATAAAAATTTAGTATTTATATTTCAATTTCGAAATGATGTATGCTACCTCCATCATTCCCGTGTGAACTGCGGAAACCATAAGTGGTTGTATCGGCAGAAAGAAAGCAGATGCTGCCATCAGCAACTTCGGGTTTTCACTCCTGATTGCTCTTGACAGGCACTGCTTAAAGAAATAAATCGAACTAATTAATCTTTCATTTGTACGTTATAGCCGGAAAAAAAAAATGATCCGTATTTCGTAATAAAAAAATTCGGCGGATAGTGAAATTACGGAATAACTAAATGATTTGACTAACCACTGTAGTTGTGGCTATCATAGTGTAGTCAGCCCATCTGAGATACTTCCTCAGTTTCCCTCTCGAAGCGTGGTAAAAGCTCGATGCAACTCCTACTCCAATTAACGAATTCGCATATATTCTACAATTAAGATTTTTCCTGCATAGCAACCATAGAAAAATATGACAAATGTGACAGAAAACAAATAGATCTTTTTCAATTATGATGCAATTTTGAGGAGATATACAGTAGAACCTCGATAAATCAATAACCTCGTTTAAATAATAATTTCTTACGGTCCCGGGTCGGTAAAAACGTTATAAATTATATGCTCGATAATTTACTATTGTACTAAATTAATAGAATTTTGTTGGTCCCAACTGTATTAATTTATAGAGGTTTAACTGTATAATGGACCACCTCGGGGCATGGAGTCCAAGGGCGATAAAAGGAAGTGAAGTAAGCACATTAACAACTGTTTCCGCAAAGTTTTTATCGCCTGCAATTAAACAGCAACTAATTCATCGTGACATAAACGAAAAAAAATTAATTACTTCGTTAAGACAATGAGATATGAATTTATGTTTGCAATATACCGGTATGGCAACAATGGATGGGCCTCAGACAAGCAGGTCTTTGATGCCAAACTTTCCTGATTAATAAAAATATTATATTTAGTGACCGATTATTAACCCTTCGATTTTTTATTATATTTTTTGGACAAACTATAGAAAAATATATTAGGCACTATGAATTTCTTTACTCACTGAACAATTGGCCGTTTGTTGATCCCGATATTTACGATTCCAGTACCGGACGATGACTCGTTAGAATCGTGATTTTGTTTTATATCTTGGAACGAAAAGGAGGAGTGAGAAACTAAATGCACTCCATGTAATCCAGTTAAGGATTTACTTGGCTGAAATGCACTCTCTGGAGTCATGTGTTAAATTCAGCGGCAATCACTCAATTGAAACGGAAAAACGTTGATGCAGCTGAAATTTATTCCGTTGCAATATATCAGAACTTCATTAAGACATAAAAAAGGAATAGTACTTATGCATGACATGCAAATAAAAGCTACAATTTTTTCCATAGAATTAATTCTCAATTTTTTCCATACAGCATTTTAATATCACTGATAGAGTCGTCGTACAAACACTGATCAAAATCAAGCTCGAGCCCAATTCGTTTTTTGCTTATCCTTTTTTTTTTTTTTTTTCCTTTACACTTTTCTTGGATAGATGGGAACAAGGATTAAGAATAGGGTAAATTATGAAACCCCCTGAACTTAGGCTAAATTACGAAAAACACCCCCATTTATTCGTAATTACTAAATCCCCCGACATTTGTTTCCATCTTACACCGACCCTCTTACAGTGTGATTTTCAGCGGAATCTTTTTTAGTCTAGAGATATTTACGTGAAAAATGTCAATTGTACCCCCGAAGACGTGGAATTTCCTACATGCTACTTTTTAAAAGTAAACATTACTTTCAAAGATGTAATGGTAATACTAAAAAGTTGTCAATTTGTCCTTATAAGAAGAATAAAGATTATGTTTGAAGGCCCCCATAGGGTAACTTTTATCACTCAAAATTAGCATAAATATATGTACGTCTGCAAGGGTAGAATTGACATTTTTCGGGGAATATTCCCCGTAATAAAAAAAATCGTGAGAAGTCAAACCGTAAGGGGATTGTTGTAATATTGGATCAAATGTCGGGAATTTTGATAATTAAGGATAGATCAGGGTATTTTTCTTAATTTAGCCTAAGTTCAGAGGGATTTTCGAAATTTACCCATAAGAATAAGGTGGTGTTTGCAAATGCTTTTTGAAAGTGATTATGCGGTTTTTTTTGCTCATAATCTGTTTTTAGGTTTTTGCAAAATCAACTTTTGCTTTTGTTTCTCTTAAAATAATCTGCTTTAAGCTATTTTTTTAAAAGCACCCCTAACCCTGCTTTTTCAATTTTAGTTCATTTTCCGAAATATTTGCAAACACCCCCAACTTTTAGAAATAAGCACTTAAAACTAACTTAAATCATAATCACTAACTTCTGCTTTTAAATAATCATTTGCAAACACCACCTAAAAGAGAATTAAACTTCTCCTTTTTTTTTTTCCTTTTCAATTTCATTTCTGGAAGCTAAGTTCGCTGCAGAAGTAGTCCAACAATCAAGTAAAAAGACTCTAAAACCAAATGATAACTTACAGAAAGTTAGCCATGCATCAGAAATCTAATTATCAAAGAATGCAATGAAAAATGAAAAGGTAATAAGGTTACAAAGAAAATGAGTATTTAACTGATGATGACATAAAGCAAAAAAAAAAAATACCTGGAAATATGAAAGCTGTGGCAAATTGAGGTGCAAGAGGGAATTAAACTAATTGGCAGATTAAGTTGAATTCTGAGGAAAAATATTTGAGGGAAATTAATTGGCCCAATTTATTTGGAAAAAAAGATGCGAATGTGGAATAGCGAATCTTCCTTTAAAATGTGAATTTTGAAGCATATTCTAAGTTGGTTCCCGGTAGGGCTCTATAACATGTGTTCAATTTTGTTTTCTTCTTTTCTTGTTATCTTTAGGGTAACGTTCATTTTGCACCCCTGTACTACGCGAAACGTATCATTTACCTCCTTGGAGTATAGAAAACATCAAACACCTCCCTGTCGATAGCCTTTTTCCTAATTTCCGTTAGTCAAACCCTCTGACCGACTTTGCAAAGAAATGTTGGTTTTTTTTTTTTTTTGACGAAAATACCCCAAAAAATTTCTAAATATAGGTTGGTTAATTTTGACAAATGTTCATCAAAATTTTCACTTTTTTCAGCAATTTTTCTCACTTTATTCAGTCATTTTTTTCTTTAATTATTTTCAGCCATTTTTCTTATACAAAAACTGAAAAGCCGAATAAAATAAGAATGAAGCTTTGCAGATTATGAATGTAAAACAAATAAAAAAGAAAACTAAAAGACTGAAATCCAAAAGAAACCTTAAAATTGAAATAAAACAATGAAAGAATTGCAAATTATAAACAAAGTTTTTCAGATTATAATGGGAAAATGCTCCGAAAAAAAAATTAAAATCCCTAAATCAAATACTAAAATCGACGTAAAGCCATAATTTGAAC